ATTTATCGCAAGCCGTCAAAGAGTAAGAAAAATTTAAAAGAATATAAAAAAACTATAAAAATAAATAGTCTGCTAACAAATTATCTACAATATCTCCATAACTAGACATACTATCAAGTTCATATTTTAAACAGAATAAGTCTTGACATACTTATATATAATAATAATAATAATAATAATAATGGGTTGGCTCAGTGGTTAGAGTCATGACTCTGAGATCGGAAGGTCTCAGGATCGAATCCCACCGGTGGCAGGAATTTTTATTTAATTAAAACAAAATTAAATATTAATTCTAACGCATAGGTAGGATTCCCCACTCGACCATTCACTGTTGGGTTCTAATTAACAGTGCTGTTCCTAAAGTGGCGCTGGGAAACAGTAACAAAGCCTACACAGAACACGAGGCTAATGGCCGTAGTAGTCGACGCCGATGACACCAAATTAAAAAAAAAAAAAAAAAAAATAATAATAATAATAATAATACTCTCCCTATTTCACCCCCTTACGAGTGAATTTTAACCCCAAAAGCTGAGCTTGTCCGGGGAAAGGGACGGCTATTATTATTATTTGCCGTGGCGCTCCGGGGCGACTTAAAGATGATTGATGGTGCCATTTGACTTACAGGTGAGGAAAACCCGGAAAACCTCACCCACCATCATCGAGACGGTAATGTATGGCGAATTTTTTTAATCTGCATGTCATATCAACAGAAATTGAATTTCTATTAATACGCCACACATCAAATCCTAAACCGAACCATGCAATTTAATTAAAAATCCACATGGTCTGGTCTGGGATTCGAAACCCAGCAGTCTCAGACTCATAAACTTGCCTATAAATGAATATAAGCGCGATAGACCGCTACACCACCGTGCCCGATAATAGTGGTACTGTCATTTTATCGCAAGCCGTCAAAGAGTGAGAAAAAATCAAAAGAACATAAAAAAAACTCTAAAAATAAATAGTCTGCTAACAAATTATCTACAATAGCTCCATAACTAGACATACTATCAAGTTCATATTTTAAACACAATAGGTCTTGACATATCTATATATAATAATGTTACTGTCAATTTATCGCAAGTCGTTAAAGAGTAAGAAAAAATTAAAAGAATATAAAAAAACTCTAAACATAAATAGTCTGCTAACAAATTATCTACAATACCTCCATAACTAGACATACTATCAAGTTCATATTTTAAACAGAATAAGTCTCGACATACCTATATATAATAGTGGTACTGTCATTTTATCGCAAGCCGTCAAAGAGTGAGAAAAAATCAAAAGAACATAAAAAAACTCTAAAAATAAATAGTCTGCTAACAAATTATACAAATATTCTTAAATCTGACTTAATATCTCTTTTATGGTTTATATATTTTTAAAATATTCTTACTTCTACTTTTTATTTAATAATTACCGCAATATTTATTTAATAAAATGTATTAACCTAGAACCGACGCCACTGTTCACTCGGGTTCCTTCGCCATTTTGGCTGCCAAGTTTGGTCTGCTAACTTCACACCAGTCGCAAAGGGGCGGTCATCTCGAAATAATAAACGAAGTAAAGTGAAATGAAAAATATAGGTTGGAGGAAACAAGAACAAAGATAATTTTTAAGATCAAGCAAGACTTTTAGGAATAAATAATATAATGCAGGAAAATTCAACGGAGAGAAAGGGATAGACAAGAAATTACAAAGTTATGTGCTTGAATGTCCTATATATATTTTGAATTATTTGCTAGTGTATATTCTCAAATTCCATCTAGTTATAAAATCTGAATAACGATACATTCTCTAGAAGTATCTAGAAATTGTGAGAATGATTCAGATTTTAAGAAAGCAATTAAAGAAAAAGGGACCAAAGAAATCAGCAGGCGTTGACGGAATATGTTGTAAAATGTTGCCATAAGTGACTAAAATATATTTATCTACAACCACCACATTAAATTGTATATTATGTATCGTTTTGTTTATAAGTAAATACATCATTACAGATACTGTTACGTAATGAAATCACAAAACTGTAACAGTTTTATTTATCAAAATATCCATACTAGTCCGTTGCTAGGTGATCGCCATGGTTACGATAAACAGTTCTGACATTTCAGAAAAAGAAAAATCGCCATTGTTGTAGTTATAAAATTATTTTTTTAAAGAATAAAATGAGTTTGTCAGATAGTAAAAATTAATTTCAAGGAACTCCTAATATTCTTGAAAAAGCTGCTAATATTATTAACAAGTTACAGTCTTTAAAATCAAGGGCAGGGGATGAAATAGTATACCAAAAGCTTATGGACTTGACGTATAAAAACAATGTAAAATAATTCTTTGAGAATGTGCTTTTGGCATATTTTGGGGAACTTATGGAACAATTAAACCTGCATCATTTTAGGCAATGTATTCTATGTCACATAAAATAAAGTACATTTTGAAACGTACCCAAAATTAAAAGCAGTTTTTAAAAGCAGAAATTATTTTGATGAAATAAGTAAATAATTAAATGAAGCTCTTGATTCACAATAATATTAACAAAGGTTAGTATTTAAAACAATTTTTCATCAGTTAATTTAGTAGTTGCATTTGCAATTTATAATATTTTTAATTAGATGTATTTAATAAATGTTATAGGTTACGAAAACCTTCTCGTTATTAAGAATGTATGATTGTGGTTTTAGATATAGTATAGTACTTTACTCGAGTTGTAAAAGCAATTACATGCTCGTAGAATTACTGCACTCCCGCTAAAGCGGCTCCTGCGCAACTTTTCTACTCGCCTGCAATTAGCTTCTTACTACTCTTGTTATGTAATATACTATCAATTTAATTATAAGTACTGCTATCTTTTCAACTGCGTGGAAAACTTCAATTTGCACTTCTATTCATAAATCAGGCAATAAAAATTATAGATCAATTTCAGTTATGTAGGCATTTTCAAAACTTTTAGATTATATATTCATTTGTAGACAGCTCAGTAAACCTTATTTTTTTATTTATGGCTAAGCGATCAATTTTAGCCATTCTGCAAATGAAACTTTAGAAAATAAACTTAATTTGTTATAATTCACAGGCACTTTAGCAAAGCCTTTGGCCGTTTAAGTAGATTCTGATGTTTTGTTTTATGAGTTTAGAGTTTATACATTTTTCTGCAATTAAAGTGCCATGAATTTGTTTAAAAGTTATTTTTAGGTAAATTCCCCGTATCTCAGGGCTCAAACTTGGGTACCCTGTTTATAATATTATTTGTTAATGGCATTACAAACTGTATTACATTTTTGAAATGTTTATTATTTGTACATGCTATCAAAATATATAAAGAAATACAAACAGTTCTTGACTGTATGGCTCTTTAAACATATAAAGATAATATTTATGAATTTAAAATAAATTTCAATAAAAGAGAAATGTGGCTTCCTGACTATATCCAGACAGAAAATCATAGACTTATTTAATTAACAAATAATGAATGATTCTTTAGAAAGCGTTTGCGAGTTCAGAAATTTAGGTATAACTTATAAGTAATGTTTATTTAATTTATTTACACTAAGATACTAATTTATTTATTAACTTAATTTATTTATACTTATTACCACTAATTTATATTGACATTTACTTATACATTAATTTATATCGGCCATATTTATGTGTACTAAGCTATTTCTGAACTTGAACTAACTTAAATGGCGAACAGTCTTATTTTTATAAAAATGAGACTATTCTAGAGTGTTCTAGACATCTTTTGATAGAATTTGTAGCACCGCCTAGAAAATACATCGACAGATCCACCATTTTATAAACTGGTGTATCCACCAAATTTGATGTCTTTAGGAGCTTTTTGTCATTCTAGAGCAGTCAAGAACTTCGACTGGGAGTTTCCATAGGTGTATCAAGGGGAGGGTCACGGAGATAATTTGTTTTATTGAATATTTTTTGGTATAAGTCAAAAACAGGGCAAATATAAACTGGTCGAAATTGGCTTCCACATCAAGAAACAAATTTTGTTTTAAAAACATTGATATTATTAGATAATTAAGTTTTGAAATTATACCGGGTGTTCAACTTAAAGAGTTACAGCTATATACCGCTTTTTATAAAAAAAAAAAACGTTTCAGACGAAAGTTTTATAGTTTTGTGGGGAAAAACTTTTGGCTAAAATCGTTTTTTATAGCTAACCATAATATGGCCAACTTTTTTTTCGCGCAGCAACATTTTCAAGTAGCTGTTACTCAAAAAGTAAAAGTCCAATAAAAAAATATTTCCCTCAAAAGTTTCTTATTTTTTTATGTACTTTAAGAATATGTAAGAAAAAAATGGGATTCCCATTTAAAAAAACAAAGTCCACCTCGATATGGCCATATTATGGCCAACTACAAAAAAATGAATTTAGCCAAAATATTTCCCCCAAAAAACTATAAAACTTTTGTCTGAAACTTTTTTTTCTAAAATGCATATTTTCGGCGGTATTTGACTTTAAAATGAACACCCGGTATAGGTATTAGGTAATTTGTAAAATAACTATCCTTGTAATAAGGCCAGTAGGTATGATTGATAAAATAAATGAATTCAAAATTATCTGTAATCAATTTACAAAAAAATATAGGTGCGTTTATGAACCACTTTATTAACCGAATTCAAAAGAGGTTCTTAATTAGTCATAATTTTTTTTTATGTATGTTCAGCGATAATTCTTTAACACGGTGTCCAATTTCTATGATTCTTTTTTGTTAGTAAGGGGGTTTAGGGGGTACCTCAGGGTTGGTCCCATATAAATTTCGTCACAATGTAATAATTGGATCCATGAGAAAAATTCTCAAACTCTTTATTTTTCATGTATGTTTAGCGATATTTCTGTACCACCTTGTCCGATTTTTATGACTCTTTTTTTGTTAGTAAGAGGGTACCTCAGGGGTGGTCATGTATAAATTTGGTTAAGATGTGGTGACGGCATCTGCACGATTTTAAAGTTGATTTTTTAAAATTACTTTTTCATATTTCTTAAGATGCCGGGCTTGCGGAAATGGCTATTTTGTTCGACAACTAGGCGGCGGTCGTCTGGACAATACTTTGAGGCCCAAGAAAAAGGAACACAGTAAATCCATGCAAACAGATACTTCGAGCATTCTAGATAATTATGGCACTGCAAAATTGCTGCAACGAAGCTCATTTATTAGCTTTGATAGCTTATCAGGTACCGTTAGAACAAAAGACCTTTACAAACAAAGAGACGTGTCATTATTTTCAGGAGGATCTGCACAACCAGAACTTCACATGAGTTTGGATTCACGTAAGTAACTTTTACTAGAAGAACCTCCTGCAGGATATTCATATAATAAACGTGTAATTAACCTGAAATTCATTTCATTTTCCAAAAGCAAAATATTTGATCCAAATTATCTTACAAATCACACTGTACGAGATGTGATAAAAATACAGTAAATTATTTATTAGTTAGCAGCAACTGCTGACGCTATACCCATTTGATGTAATTTGTCCAATAGCCTGGATCCATTGAGATAGTCAACGTCGAGTTGGAACACATTAATGGTCGATTCACAATATACGGAATATCAGCGTCACGTAACAGAACGGCAACGTCACGTCAATTTTGCGATCCATTCGCACCATTCGGAACGTCAACGTCAATCAGCGGGGTTTGCAGTAACTGCGATTTACACTGTACAGAAATTTATTAAAAGAACATTATTAATGATTGTGGTAATTTTGGATACGAAAGAAATGAAGAACTAAATTATAAAACTTCGTGAAGCAGCAGCAACCTTGCCACCTAAATCTGCTCGAAATCGGAGGCAATTAAAATTCTAAAATAGTTTACAATCCAAAAGTTGATTGTTTTCGCATTTGTATCTGTGTCCCAACACATGATTTTCCACTAAAGTTGAATCCCGATCAAAACAAAAGAAAATTGTACTCTTCATCATATGTCTCCAATACGTTCCATTTTAGTGACATCAGGTATATTACAAAAATTATAGATACCACGAAATATTTTTATCCGAAGAATTTTCTTCCCCAATCATGAGTAGCGCAAACATACCAAACATTACAAAAACGACTTTGCATACAGTACTTTTCCAGTTGGTCTGGCCCAAAGTTTAACCAGCTCTTTAAGGGACCCTGGAAACCCTATGTTCTAAAATCGGCTGAATGGTTTTGGCTGTATCGTCAAAAAAAACGCCAAACATATTATATCTATCGTTGGTATACAAGAGAAGGTGGTCCACCGACAGTATTTTATAGTAGATTATAAAAACAAATCAATTATTTGGTCGTTATTTAATTTTAAATAAGCATTTTTATGACATTTTTCGAGTTGTTCATTTTTTTGATAAATAATATTGAACTTAAGATATTACAAACTAAAAAATGGACTTGTAAAAATATTTATTTTAATTTCCTTTTTACAAAAATATCGTGGACTTGCAAAATTAAAAATTTTTTAAGAAACATTTTTTGAAAGCGCTTTAATAAAGAGCTTGTTCGGAGAAATAGAAAAAAATCTTCATTTAAGCGTTTGAAAAACATTGTGTTAATTTTTTTTTAATTTGGCAATTCCACAATTGTATTTTTATTGCGCATCCTGTAAAGCAAAATCGAAGTTTCTCAACGTTAATCGTATGTATTTAACAAGGAAAAGAAATTATGAAGAAGTATATATAGTTTTTAAATTTAAAATATTTTTACAAGAATTGTACGTGGAGACACATTATACAGGGTCATTCTATATGGGCGGAACACTTGATTTATGGCTTAACTATGACTTGTACGATAATTTGACTTAGATAAAAGTTTTTGTACATTTTATGTTCTATTTATTGACGTTTACAGATTTCCCGCATACATAATGGTTTTCAAGATATGACGTCATCGGGCAATATTTTAAATGGATCACCCTGTATTTATATATTTTTTCGAGTTCGTATGATCTGTCTGAATTCATCAGTGGTACATTAAGTGGGTCCCAGACTTACGGTCTTATAATAACAATTAAATTAGCTTATACTTTAATAAGACACATTTATTTAAAGTCTTATAATAACAATTAAATTAGATTATACTTTAATAAGACACATTTATTTAAAGTAGATGTTCAACCTAAAAGCGCTCGGCTGCCTGGCAATATCCTAATCTATCAAGAAATTATCTTAAACTGTTTTGAATAGATTCAGGAGTTATTTCTTGAGTGGCCGCTCTGATTCGATCTTCCAGTTCTTCCAGAGATTGAGGTAGATCCTTATAAACTACAGATTTTAAGTGACCCCAAAGAAAAAAATCCAGTGGAGTTAAATCTGCCGGCCACTCAATATACCCTCTTCGGCCTATCCATCTCTGCGGAAACATCGAAATGAGGTGGGGCGCCATCTTGCTGGAACCATATTTCCTCTGACAATAATTGTAAATGATTAGCACGATTGGGAAATATACGGATTAATTCTTAAACTATTTGTTCTCGTAGAAGTTGTAAATAGCGATCACCATTTAAAGTTTGTCTCAGAAAGAAAGGTCCAATTAATCTTCCTCCAACTATACCAGCCCAAACATTTAGCTTTTGTGGATATTGTGTGTGACCTTCTATCATCCAGTGTGGATTCTGATCAGACCAATAGCGGCAATTATGCCGATTGACAAATCCGTTTAGACAAAACGTTGATTCGTCGGAAAACACAATATTATTCATAATGTTGTTCCAATTAATTCGATCCATCATTTCTTGGCAAAACTGCATTCGTCGATCAGGATCATCTTCATTTAATTCTTGATGTAATAATTGAACTTTATACGGATGAAAATGATTTTTTATCAGTATCCTTCTTACAGAAATCTGGCTAATATCATTATTTAATGCAAGTTTTACTATGGAAGTTTTAGGTTCTTCATGAACATTTAGAAGTACATCAAGTGATTTCTCCTCATTTGTAGCTGTCGTCTTTCGTCCACTACCAGGAATATTTTTGACACTACCTGTTTCGTTAAGGGTTGGTCTTTTCACCTTCAGATAAAGTGTCAGGTAATTTTTATCTCCCAAGTAACTTAAAAAGTAATCTTTTCACATCTGGATAAACCTAACTTCTGAATGATAACTTAACTTAGTTATGAAATTCTTGATAAAATACTTCATTGATGGATAAACAGGTAGCTACATAACCACATAAGATTAAAAACTACTGGATACTTACCATACATATTATTTATTTGAAAAAACAGAAAATTAATTATCTGACAGATGTAACTCTCAGAAAATATATGCGTCAGTTAGTTATCTGGAACCTTATCTGAAGGTAAAAAGACCGACCCTAAATTTGCGTAAATTTCGATACACAGTCGACTTAGAAATTAGAGACATTCTGTCAGGAAATGTAGCATTAAACAAATCGGCAGCTTCTTGTAAACCTCTCTTTCTATCTCCAAAACCAACCATCATCAACAGTGTAATTCTTTCACGTTCACTTAGTTCCATTGTTAATAATAATAATCAAATACTTAATCTGTACACTAAAGATATTTGTATTTACTGTGATTTGACGTTATTTTTTGTTAATAGATCATGATATTGCGATGAAAAAAATATATAAATACAGGGTGATCCATTTAAACTATTTAAAATGTGTCTTATTAAAGTATAATCATTGATGAAATCAGACAGATCATACGAACTCGAAAAAAATATAAATACAGGGTGATTTTGTCTAAGTCAAATTATCGTACAAGTCATAGTTAAGCCATAAATCAAGTGTTCCGTCCATATAGAATGACCCTGTATATACATCCGGATATCTTTTAAAATATGTTTTTTGGGTTACAGAGACACCAAAACATGAAGATATGATAATTTTTAAAATTGTTCGAATTTTAGAGTTATTGCAATAACCTTCTCATTTTTATGGGTTGGTTAAAAAAGAATTAGAGGATGGTGAAGTATGTTTCTATAAATACTTAAGAATGTCTTAAAATCAATTTTTTATACTTTTGACTCGAAAACCAAATTTAAAATAATAACAAATCTTTTCGTGAAGTAATAGTGGAAACGTAAGATATCAGCTTTTCGTCGTCCATACTTATAAAATCAATTTGTATCGATAGGAAACTAAAATGGACATATTTTACTTTGCCATTTCTTTTGACACATTCACATTAACCAGGCAACGGCACGGAATGTCACGTCAAATTACGGGCTTTTTCAGACACAACGGTTTTTTTCCGTGTCTTGATAGAATTCACACTCGACCGTTTTTTTTTCTGTGAACCGTCATTAGCGATTTTATTTTGTCAGTTGGTTATGGACATGAATCAAAAGTGCACTATTGCCGTGGTATACAAAAGGAAACGACATAATCGTATATACTGAGTGCACCCAATTAATCAGAAAAGAGATGAAGTGGACACATTCATTTCCTTAATGGAAGATTTACGTGGAGACGAAAATAAATTTTTTAATTACTTTCGGATGCCCATTGAATCCTTTGATGAGCTTCATAAAACAATATTCAGCAGCAGATTACTAATATGTGAAATTGCATTGAACCTATAGAAATGATAGCTGTGACACTAAAGTAAAAGAGTTTTATGTTAATTTCGTTACTAGTTTATTATCTACAGAATCAAAAAAGAATAATACATTTTTATTTTAATGTCATATTGACACGAAAACCAAAATACAAAATATTTTTAATAAACGAAAACCAAGCTGCACTCAACAACGGACAGCAGACGACTAAAAAACGTCATATATGAAAGCCTGCATAAAGTTACTACTGATAACTGATATAAGGCGATGGTACAGTACCGTACAATTCAGTCGTTGACACAGCTGTTTTCAAATCGACTGTACGGAAAAAATCCGTCTCCGTCCAATATGGAAGCTGCAGTTAATTTTATCAGTTTACTATCAACAGCGCACGGAAAAAAATCCGTACGATTTTTTTCCGTACGGACGAATCGTTGTGTCTGAAAGAGCCCTAACGTTTTTAATAAATCTTGACGGTCTGTGACGGTGACGGTATGTGACGTTATCTATGTATGTGAATGTTACCATCAGAAACCCATTTAATAATATTTTGACGTGACGTTAACGTTCCGTTACGTGACGCTGATGTTCCGTATACTGCGAATTGACCAGTCAGTGTCGAGAGTTGCTAAAGTGAGGTCATATTTACCGTGTCTGTCACTTATCATGGATTTCGAACAACGCGTGAACATTAAGTTCTGTTTTAAGTTGCAGAAAAGTGACAAAGAAACTCATAAATTGTTGGTAAATGGCGAAAACGCTGTAACTCTGAAGACTGTTTACAAGTGGTATGAGCGATTTAAAAGGGTAAATGAGCCAATAGAAGACGAGCAATGTTCGAGACGTCCATTAACCTCAAAAACTAGAAGAAACCGTGTAAAATGTGGCAAAATTCGGTCTTTCAAACAGGCGAATAACTATTCGAGCCGAAGAACTTAGCATCAAGTACGGTCCATGCAAAGCATTTTAACCGATAATTTACAAATGAAATAAGTTTATTCCAAGGAAAATAATTGCGTAAAGGCTGGATTTTACAAATGCGTAATGCAACGTTTGCAGAGACAAGAATCCAATGCCTTTCTTCTTCATCCCGATAACACACCGTGCCACACTTTGCTTTTAATTCGCAAGTTTTTCACCTGCAAAAGTGTTCCTCTCTGTCCACTTCCACCTTACTCACCAGATTTGACATCATGAGACATCTGACTTTTCCCAAAATTTAAAATTGATATAAACTAGATTTTGCAGAGAAGTATGGAAGTAAGAGTACCTACAAGTAAATTGTACTTTAAAATAGGAAATAGTTGATACATTTGACACATTGAATCAGAATGGCATACAAACTTATTTTATCTACTATTTTCCTATGGTTTTCCATATTATTATTGTATAACTTAAGCCACGTGATCTACTATTAGTTCACTTTACTATTCAGTGCCACTGTACAGCTGAGATTAGCGATCTTTGAACTTGGCTGCACCCCAAAAGCGTTTAAATTATTTTTTTATTCATTTAGAGAAATACCTATGTTTGTTTTTAGATCAATTGCTGTCTGTTATATCTGCTGAGATTGGATTTAAAGCTATAAGGAGACTAAAAGATAATTTCAATTTGATAAGAACTTTTTCATCAACCGATTACTCACAATGTACTTGTCTTTTAGTTTTGAATACAATGTATTCACAAATGGTCGAACATTGTAAAGGAGCAGGTATTTGTTTATTATTGTTTTTTAATATTAATTCTTAGTAAATCCCATCCTAACATTAGATTAAAAAACAATCGCAAGAAATAAAAACAAAAGATTTCGAACCGAAACACTTTATTTGTTCTCAAAATATTCACCTTTAAAATCTATATGTTTATTTTTTAATATATGTAAGTATATCGTTCAATAATTTTATTACTTATTGATATTTTTACTAGAAAACATAAATTGGACTAGAACACAAAAGTAAAACATTATTATTTAAGTAATAAAAATACGGCAAAAAGTAAACTGGTCAATACTCTCAGAAACCAGTGGCGCATCTAGAGTTTAAGTCTGGGGGGGTAGTAGTAAAATACTGCCCCCCGACATAAATAATCTGGGGGTAGTGGTATTATTTAAATGTTTATTTTTGATAAAAATACATTTTAGTACCTATAAAAGGTTAGATTTAAAAATTCTTGAGGTGGGGGGTAACTACCGCCATTGTGCCACCCGTATATGCGCCTCTGCCAGAAACTACGGGTTAGTTTGCCACATTGAATATGTGTTCTACAGAGATCAACCCTTTTTTGCAATTATCAGTCTCAACTTTTACAAAATACGTATAAGGTTTTCAAAAAGTTTGGATTATAACTGTTCTTATCCCTTGATTCTACGCCAATGGATTATTGTAATTTATCGAAATAATAATAATGACGATTAACTAACATATACATATTTTTAAGTTAAAGTCTTTACCGTAAGGAAAGATATTTAGAAAATATGTATTCAACGTTTTTTCATAATTAGTTAAGATCTACAAATTACTTATTTTACGGTACTTTATTCTGGAACACCCTGTATAAGAATGCTAATAGGAAAAATTTTCGGAAACAATCTGCGTAAATAATAATAAACGTAACTATAGCAGGGACAGAAGTTGGAAAGGCTTTTGCAAGTTCTCCCACTTCATACACAGGATTTGACAGTTTTGACGCGGAGCTAATCGAAGTGGACGCGAAACATTGGCGAAAAAAATTAGTTTATAGATGCTAAAAAAAATTTAATGTAAATAGTTTAATAAATTGTCAATAGCTGTTGAAATTTTGTAGAATTATGATTTGGGGTATATTATTACTTATTTAAATAATTATTTGTAACCAATAAATAGATACGTTTGCCCGATTTCGCCGGTAATAATTTAAAATTCGTGGTATTATTTTTATTCTATAAGACCAGGGCCGACTAGAGGGGGGGTAGGCCGTACTAATTCCCGGGGCCCGGACTCAAATGGGAGCCCGGCAGCTCTATAAGGGGGGCCCGGCAACTAGATTTTGTTTTGTATGAGAAATTCGACACCAGACGAGAGGGGGAAGTTTTAGGCTGCGGGGACCTTTTTTTTGTAGAAAATTGAATCTATGCAGAAGAGGAAAAGTTTTTGCTGGAGGTCCTTTTTTTTCTTGTTTTTAGAAAAAGCAATTCAAGTACAGGAGGAAAAGTTTTTTTTTAGAAAATTGAATCCAAGTAGAGGAGGAAAAGTTTTAACTGGAGGATCTTTTTTTTTAAAGCAATTCAAGTACAAGAGGAAAAGTTTTTACTTGAAGACCTTTTTTAAAGAAAATTGAATCGAAGAAGAGGAAAAGTTTTTGTTTGAAGAACTGTTTTTTGGTGACGGGGCCCGATCTAGAGAATTGTCCTGGGGCCCGGCTTGGCTCTCGGCGGCCCTGTATAAGACGACTATGATGAACAAACATTGCCGCGACGGAATTTGACGTTTACCAACTCTCTACCTACCAAAAGTATTTCCAACTTCTGTCCCTGCTATAGCAATTCTTGGGCACATTAATTTAGATTCAAAGCTTTCGTTGACAAAATTATCCGAAGTTTCGGGAGTGCCAAAATCAACCTGTCATATTAAAATTTTAAAAAATTTACCCTTATAAAATTCAACTTCACCAAGAGTTGGGTGACGGTGATTTCTACAGAAGAGTCGAATTTTGTGAAATATTAACAGATATGATTCGATATATTTTTTTTTCAATATCGATATTTTTCTCGACAACAAAGGAGCGTGGATGACCTTCGCGGAGATCGCCACCAAACGTTTGTCTTCCACGTTTGAGTTCTGCGAAAAAACTAAAAACGTATATGTCAAATTCAATGACATAATGGTTTGCTTCTGTTAAATATTAACTGTCACACTAATATACTGTATTGTTTATTCAACTTATAGGTCTTGCAGAAAAAATTATGAACGTCACCGTAGAATACGCTTACGTTTGTATAGAAAACAAGAATACCCCTCAAGCAATCAAAATTCTGGAGGAAGCCTTGCAACTTTTAGAGGTATGTTGTAATAAGGACACCAATAGGCTAATTCAAAAAGCGTCTTAAAATTTTTCTACATGTAAAACCTTAAAGATAGAAATCCCGTTATAATGAATGTCCAATAGAATTGGGCGGACTCTGTCACGAAGCGCTGAACGAAATAAAGCCTTTTGAGTCAAAATAACGTCAGACTAAAACATTTCTTATGGATATGGGGTCTATTAAAACAGGGCGTTTTAAAATAGCGGACCACCGATCTAGGACCAGATTTAAACAGTTCTGTTTTAACTAATTTACATAATCTGTGCGGCCTGGAACCACCACAAGTTGCTTCGCAAAAAAAAGATATAAAATGAAAATTAAAAAAACAACGAATTTACCAAACCTATGCGGCCTGAAACCGCAAAACATGCAAGAGTTAGGTAGATAAGTTAAGTTTTTTTATAGCGCTGTTCTAATCAGGGCCTAGTTTGGTGGATCGATATTTCGATACGTAGCGCTATTTTAATGAATTATATTTCAGTCAGGCGCTATTTCGTAACACGCCATTTTGATTAGATGCTCAAATAATAACAAATAATAGTGGTAAACTGACATTATTTACGTGTTTCTTTTGATGTTGTCCAGAAAAATATTATTTATGATAACAGATACTAACGGCGTAATCATTTAACAATAGTGGATAATTAAAGAATTATGGATTACTACAATAGTCTGGCCTTTTGGTTTTATCCAGTGCCATTAAAAAAAAAAATTAAATTTCGTAAGCAAATTAAAATACATTTATAACAGATTTAATGCTAAGCCAACTCCCCCTCTCACATACACACACACACACATCATTTTTCTTCCTAGTTTATATTTTAAATGAATTTGGTTATGGGGCATGTTCAAAAATTTTAAATTTTTTTTATGAATAATAGAGTTCAAAATAAAGCTACATTTAAAGTTTTTTTTATCTATTCATTTGCCCGAGTTATTAATTTTTTAAAATGTATGACGTCACCGGGAATAGACCAATAGGAACCCAGTTAGACGGTATACGAAAAGTAATATATGTTCGTTTATGTGCACCGTCTTAATCATTAAACAAATATCTTTTAAATATAAAATATCAAATGTTTTTAAAGTATTATTTATGTTTAAACTTTCACCATATTTAGTTTCATTGTTTTTTAAAAAAGACAACTAATAAACAAGAAAATGGAAATGCGGCAGCACTGCATGTGTCATCTGTGAATCAGGAATTTTTGTGTTGTCAATCGATAATTATGCAATTTTGATGTTTTTATAAATATTGAGTATGAAAAAAATGTTTCCTCCCAAGATGAGATAATGATTTACATTTTACATTCATTATTAAAAATATTTATTAGTGTTACTAGAAATATGAAAAGAAAAAAATTATTATCATTACACAGAAACGCTTCAAGGAACAGCTAAATTATTTTGTTGAGGTTTGTATCTATACTCTTTATTAAAATAAAAATGTTTTATTGTAATTTAATTATTCAATTATCTACCATTGTAGTAAAGATGTTTTTTTCTTTTTTTAGATACCAGATGATTTTGAAAATTGTTCATTTTTTAAACCTTTACAAATGTCTCCACAGTTCTTGTTATTCACCACACAAGAGCCAGCTCACTGATTCAACCAAAAAAATAAAAACAGAAAACAAAAAAAAAATGTTGACTGGAAAATAACCTTCTACTAGAGGGATTTTTCGATTTTTCGATTTTTCGATTTTTCGATTTTTCGGTTTTTCGATATTTCGATTTTTCGATTTTTCGATTTTTAGATTTTTCGATTTTTCGATTTTTCGATTTTTCGATTTTTCGATTTTTCGATTTTTCGATTTTTCGATTTTTCGATTTTTCGATTTTTCGATTTTTCGATTTTTCGATTTTTCGATTTTTCGATTTTTCGATTTTTCGATTTTTCGATTTTTCGATTTTTCGATTTTTCGATTTTTCGATTTTTCGATTTTTCGATTTTTCGATTTTTCGATTTTTCGATTTTTCGATTTTTCGATTTTTCGATTTTTCGATTTTTCGATTTTCTTTTTTTGAATAAATGAGAAGTTAATATTGTTTAACGCCGCACCGCTGTGCCGGTCGGAGTGGGGGGTGTTAGGTTTTTTTTCGTTACGGTTTCGTTTTTTTTTCTTGATTCGGTCGCCGCGCTCAAAGCCCGCGATAAAAGCTATGCAATAGCTTAAAAATCTTTAATATCTGATTCAGAGGGACTTAATAATGAGCAGGATCTTTAAAACCAATGAACTCTCAAAATTGAAAATAATCGAAGGTATATTTAGGATTGCAAAACAGTGTTTTTAAAATCCTCAATATTTATGAGAAGGAAAGTGTAGCTTACATAAACCTTTTACATTTCTGTGTGAATTAGTGGTATTTTTAACTTAAAAGAACTCATTTTGTAATACTAAATACCAAATAATTTAATAACCTGTTTGTTTTTTTTTTGATTAATTTATCACATTTCAGAGATTATAATAATTATATATAAATAAAAATGTAAAATCTGAAAATTTTATTTATTAACCTATTATTAAAAAATAAAAATACCTGAATAAGATAAAAGAAGTAAAAAACACTTTATTTACAAATAATAAAAAATATATACACAAGCCCTAACAATAATGGAGATAGCAAATGTCCTCTAAAGATTCATTGTCAAATTCAATTTGTTATCGACTTCATTATTTACTTCAAATGTGGAAGAAACAATGTAAAATACTTTATGTTCATGTGTAATTATTCTCAAGTTATTCATGGGAAATCGCATTATCTCCATATACTTGCTTGGCAGATCTAAAAATAATAAAATATTTAATAATGTGATGATTTTTTTAGTATTTTGAAGAGTACATTTATGAATTATAACAAGTAGGTAATCCTCGACCAAATAAAAATAGTATTACAGTAAATACATGTGCACTACCCTTCTAAATAGTTTTAAATGTATTTAGTTTTAATTTTTACTTTCCTATCTGTATACAGATAAGGAAAGTATAGGAATCATGATTTTTTTCGACTTCCAGTTTTCGACGGATTTTTGAGGTAGGCAAATTGTATGAACTCGTTTTATACAGTGTGGAAACCACTTATGGAATAAAATTCTTTATGTCATTATTTTAGAAAATTGTAAAAAATGCCGAGACACGTCAACTTTTGAATTGAGTTGTGCGTTATGTAAACATAAATTTAAATGTACAGGGTGATTCACGCAAGTATGCCATAATCGGTGTTGTTTTTTTTTAATGAAACACCCTGTATATTTGCATATTTTTGAAATCCTCTTAATGAACCGATTCCAACAAATTGAATAATGTATGTATGCATGCAAATATACAGGGTGTTTCATTAAAAAAACAACACCGACTATGGCATACTTGCGTGAATCACCCTGTACATTTAAATTTATGTTTACATAACGCACAACTCAATTCAAAAGTTGACATGTCTCGGCATTTTTTATAATTTTCTAAAATAATGACATAAAGAATTTTATTCCATAAGTGGTTTCCACACTGTATAATAACAAATTTGCTATTTCTCAGGTAATACATAATTATACTTTCACTTCTAATTATAAAAAAAATCTGATGTGTCCAACACATGACTTTCCTATCTAGTTATTATAGGCTTTTTCCAGTTATTTTGTACAACCTATTGCAGCACATTTATAAATGTTTAGAGGATAAACTAAATATATACATTTTCCACATACATCTACCTCGAAACATTTTTCTATAATCAGTATCGACAAAAGGCACTACAGGTGCATTGGCAAGTGGATAAACATTTTGTTCCTCTTCTTCTTCAGGTTAATCAACAATTTTTAATAATATACTGTCTATCTCCTTCACAATTTTCTGCTCCCGAATTAATTAAATTTAAACAAAATAATTTTCTAAAACTTCTTATAAATTGGATAGAAATAAATTATGAAAGAAAAATGAGTTCTTCGACTTAATTTTTATTCCTACACAATAACCAATATAATAACTATGCTGATACATTTTTCGCCTTTTCAGCGATTTCAGGTGGTATGCATGAAAACTCTACGTCGCTCGATATTTTTTTAAAACTAAGTGATAGGCACCTATCTAACTTTTTAACTAAGGCAAAATATTGAAACTGTCATAAAACACGAATCTTTTAGAAACTGTCAAACATTCTAAAGAAAATATTGGGTCTGCCTACTTGGTTATTTAAAAATCTAGATTTCTATTGGTCAATTTTTCAGTTTCATAATGAAAACCAGTGTTATAATGAGTATCATTATGAAACTGAAAATAGCATTTAATTAACAACTTATGGTATAGGAGTAGAAAAAAATATAACACAACTTGAACTAGAAAAATAAAAAAATCGCATTTCAACAGATAGCTCAAGAGCCCACTGCAAATTTTTACCGTCATCTGATAACGAAATGAAATATATCCCAAAAGCATGAAAAAACATTGTACTTTACCAAATGGTACCTGTGCCAATCCCAATCCTGAGCAAAATGGCTTAAAAAAATTATTTTATTTTAAAAAAATCACATAAAGCATGACAGCGCTAATTTTGTTTGCCAGAAAATAACATTCAAATATATCTTGATATATATCGTTGAAGGGAAACATTTTTTTCCTCTTAACATCGCACAAAGACATCTATCCACGATTGGTAGGTAAAAATCATTAAAAATATGAACCAATTTTTGCTGATTTAAAAATTTATTTGTATGCCTATTGTTGTGATTCATTTTTACAGGTTGCCATAGAAACGACAAAAAAACTACTATGATTATGGTTTAAAAGAATTGTCTAACAAGAGTTTATAATTATTATTGACTATCTCTGCAAATGGTTTATACAATGCCATCCTTCTTCCTTTCACACATTAACATGGTTTAAAAGGTAGGTAAAAATATTAATAATTCAGGTTTAAAAGCTAGGTTCACAATGAATTAGGGTTGTAATTTTCAGGCAAAACACAATTGTCGCTGTCATGTCTTATGTGATTTTTTGAATATAAAATAATTTTTTTTAACCACTTTGCTCAGGATAGGGATTGGCACAGGTGCAATTTGGTGAAGTGCAATGTTGTTACATGCCTTTGGAGCATATTTAATTTCCTTATCAGATGACGGTCGAAATTTGCAGTGGGCTCTCATACTAATACTAGACTTCTCAAACTGGCAACGCTGAGTGATAATAAATCTTGTCATTATCGTTACGGAACCCTAAACAATGGCGAGTTGTTGTGCGCCAACTGAGATGCGCGGACTCTTCCCGCCAAGGTGAGTTATCCTTCAGTGTGTTCAGTAGCTACACTAAGCGACACGAAACTACCCTAATGAAGGGTAGTCAAGACAAATTTGCCGTCATATGCGGCGTTTAGCGAATAGTTTTAGGAATTGGCCTCCAGGTAATTTAAAAAACTTGTCATTTTAGGGCCCAATGAAAGAACAAATCGAATTGGAATGGATGGTAGATCTGCGCAAAGGTAAACTCTTTACTTTGTTGGGAATAGCTAGAATGCAAATACATGACGACGAAGCTTACACTTACTTTATGGGGGCATTGAAATGTTACGGAATGAGTTTTCCTCAATCTACGGGAACCAAAAAATGTTTAAGGACCATTTTGAAGTTGAAGCATAAACTTAAATACATATTGGGTTATAACATGTTCGCTAGAAGAGTGGATGACTCCGTTGCTGAATATAATAATAATTTGTCCGAATGTTTGGGATGTTTATGTAGATATTTTGTGGTAAATATTTTTTTATTTCTTCCTTAAGGCCAATGTAAGAGTTTGGATATTTATTTTGATCTAATAATTTCTTAATAATAATTACTTAGAATAAAATGTAAGTTTTATGTAATCTGTTACAAATAGATCTTCTTGGATTTAATAATAAAAATGGATTAAATTAATGCTAAAAGTGACATGACTGACTTCAGTAGAAACTCAAAAGCAATGTCACTGACCTATTTGACAGGAATGACAATAAGTCACTAAGCACGGCAATTTTCATGAAACTAATAGACATACAATCCACTGTAAAGAAGAAAAATAATAAATCAGCAAGCATTAGACAAAACTATTGCCATCTACTCTGATAGCCAGCTCTATAGGCAATTCTCTCACCAGAAATCAAATCACGATTGGTGAAAGGCAGCCTAAAAGACCTAAAAGAGTGACCTTAGCCTTGGTATCAGGTCACGAAGGACATCAGAAAAAGCCAACGAATTAGGACGAGAAGACTCATATAAGGCTATGACGCCATGAAAGGCTCCGAACCCTTCTGTCTAGTTTCTAAGATATTGTGCAAGATATCCATCAAATAATGGATGGATGCAACGAGAGTACCAGGAAAGGTGGAACAACTATCCAGGATTACAACTGCTGTAGCAATGTATTTGGCTATTTTGAAGGTCAGAAAAGTAAACGATTTCGACTGCGATAGTAGTTGTTACAAATGATAAAATTAACTAAAGCGGGTCAGACACAAGTCTTAACGTTTACCAAGTAGTTCAGATTCCAGCGATTCTTTTGACATTGAACTTACTCGTATAGGGTGTACATTACATCCAGATGCCCCAGTACCACCTGAATTTTCCATTTACCTCTGCACCCACTATAGATTTATAAACAAGTGATGATTGTGCTTCAGTTTTTTGACGACGACTTTATTAAACACATTGTACGTGAAACCAACGAATAGGCAAATTAATTAGTTTTTCTGAGTCTCATAATATTGCAGAGCGTTGACAAGAAACCTGAAATGAATCAGTATTGATCAAAAAATCCTTTATGAGTCACTCCATTTTTTGCCAAAAGTCTGAATAATAAAAGATTTGAAGCAATTATATCCAATTTACATTTTTCTTATGAAGCTTTTGATCCTGATCATTATCCAAATTCTAAAATAAATAAAATATAACCTGTATATGAAAATTTGGTCAAAAAGTTTCGCCTATTAATTACACCTGAAAAACACATTGCGATTGATGAGCGTCTTTTATTGTACAAAGAACAACTTGGTTGGATTCAATATATTCCACTGAAGTCGAAACGTTTTAGCATTAAAACATTTATTTTATGTGAATACCAAAGTGACTATGTATGGAGTTTCATTATATATTTAAACAGACAAATATTGACCAGAAATTTGAAAACCTTCCAGTTTCTTCTAAAGAAATAAAATAAATAAATCACGAAGCAATATGTCACAAAATGATATAGGTGCGACCGTTTTTCTTTGGAAAACAACTACTCCCTTGGCTAATACTTTAACAGATATTGAATTACATTCAAAGGAAAACAGTACAGATGACAATAGTTCATTGATAGTGTTTGGCTAAATTCACAGAAAAATAAATATCTACTAATTAAACCATTTCTTGTATTCGAAGAAGAAAGATCGGTGGGATGAAGCAGAATTGGCAGCGATCTGGAGTCTAACGAAAGCAGTAGTAACTGAAACTGATTTTGAAAAAATGTGTATCGCTTACGGAAACACCATCCTTGTTGAATCCACTTTGGGTAATCACAGTTTCGTCATTGCTTTGGAAGTGTACGCGCTTAGAACTTGCCACAAGAAAAAAACTTACATTGAATTAGAAGAGATAAAGGCTGTGGCTTTTCTTTATTATGCCATTTGTCGAGGACGGTAAGAAAAATCACAACTATTTCACTAACGTTACCCTGTAATATTATTTCAGATTTGGATAGAGTGCGTCATTCTCACAATTAGGCAATCCAAATCACGTGACTTTAAATGGTGAACGATTGGCAAAAACAACACGAGTGAATGTTTTATGACGTTTCTAGTGAGGTTATAAGCCTAAATGTATGTATTATTGTTTTCGAGTTTTTTAGGTGTGTTTATTTAGTTGAAAATGACAAAAAATTATATTTTTCAAGATTATATATAAATATTAAATGTATTTTTATTATACTTCTTTTTAGTCTTAAACACTCTACAAATTAATAAATTAACGTAGAATCCTTCAGAATCTTCAAACCAAACGTTCAATAGTTCTAATAGTAATAAATGTAGAGTGCACACACATTGTTATTATTGCCAATTGTCGCTCATTTTCGACCATTCTGACAGGATGTTAGATAGCCTATAATACTACAATCTCTAGTCTGAATAAATAAATAAATAAATAAATAAATAAATAAATAAATAAATAAATAAATAAATAAATAAATAAATAAATAAATAAATAAATAAATAAATAAATAAATAAATAAATAAATAAATAAATAAATAAATAAATAAATAAATAAATAAATAAATAAATAAATAAATAAATAAATAAATAAATAAATAAATAAATAAATAAATAAATAAATAAATAAATAAATAAATAAATAAATAAATAAATAAATAAATAAATAAATAAATAAATAAATAAATAAATAAATAAATAAATAAATAAATAAATAAATAAATAAATAAATAAATAAATAAATAAATAAATAAATAAATAAATAAATAAATAAATAAATAAATAAATAAATAAATAAATAAATAAATAAATAAATAAATAAATAAATAAATAAATAAATAAATAAATAAATAAATAAATAAATAAATAAATAAATAAACCTTTAATTCCAAGAGACCTTGTACAGGTATGGGAAAAGTCAAAACATGGTGTACAATTTAATAAAGTAGAATAGAAAATACAAAGTACTAAAATTCAGAAATAGATACTAAACTTAAAAAAATCTAAAACAAACTTATTTATAAACCAAAATATAATTATAATATTTATGAAGGAGATGATTTATCTACGAATCAAGGAACTCAGAAACAGTATAAAATGCTTTCCTTGAAAACAAGTCCGTTATTTTACGTTTAAAGTATTTAGTACTATTTATTTCTTTAAGAGTCCGATCCAGTTTATTATACAACTTAATTCCTAAAAAATAAGGACTTCTTTCATATAATGTCAAATTGTGAGACGGAATTACTAAAGAATCGCTATTTCTGGTATCATAATCGTGAATATCTGCATTTGTCATAAACATATTTAAATTAGTTTTTACGTATATTAGCAGTTCAACCATATATATACAGGGCAGCGTTAATATTTTTAATTGTTTAAAAATATTTCTACAAGAAGCATATCTAGAAATGCCAGCGATATTTCTGAGACACCGTTTTTGAAGTCTAAAAAGTCTAATTAAATGGGGCGATGATCCCCAAAATATAATACCGTATTTAATTCGGGAGTATACCAAACCATAATAGTAAGAAATTAGAATTTTTTCATTGCATAATTGTTTAAGACGTATCAATGCATAACAAGAGGAACACACTTTTTTACACGTTTCATCTATATGTTGCATCCATGTTAGCGAAGCGTCAATATGAATTCCCAAAAATTTTGTGTTCTGGCTCTGTTGTATGGATTTGCCATTTATTTTTAGTAAATGGCATTCATCAGTTATCGGTCGAGGTGTAAAATGAACAAATGTTGTTTTCTCCGTATTCATACATAACTTATTTGATGAAAATCATTTTTTAAATTTGTTAATCATATATTGTAGTTTAACTAGACAATTATCTAATGTATCATCAGTGCATAGGTAATTATTATCATCCGCATATATTGTAAGATCATCGCCAAAGTTATGAATTTCCGGAAGATCGTTAACATATATTAGGAAAAGCAAAGGGCCCAAAATGGACCCTTGTGGAACCCCTATTGATGTGTCTAAAACGTCTGATAATATGCCATTAATATCAACAACTTGTCTTCTATTGTCTAGGTAAGACATCAACCAATCGCTTAATTTTCCACGTAGACCATAGTTGTATAATTTGTGTTCTAAGATTTTGTAGTTGACTAAATCGAAAGCTTTGCTTAAGTCCATGAACAGGCCTATGCACTTGTGTCCGTTATCTAACGCGTTATATACTCTATTTATAAATTGCACTAAAGCTGTTTGTGTAATAAAAGAGGAGTGCAGTAAAAGTGGAGATATAACGTCACATTCTACGTACTTTGCAAAATAAATTTTTAATGAAAAAATATTATTTACAAAAATTAAAATAAACCTTATGCTTCTGACAAAATTGTTGTACTTTAAGATTAATCGATTTAAATTTAACCAATAAACTTTTTTAATCTTTTGGAATTAAAACTAACACTTTAATACCTAAAATCAAAGATTAAAAAAATTAAAAGTTCAAGAACTATCTTTAAAAGTCACTGTCTTCAGTATAACTACTAGGGGGCTATTTTCAAAGTATGGGAGTTCTCATTTCTCTCAAGATTCTCATCAAAACTGTCATATGTCAATGTGGAAACGCTGTTTTTAAAGGCCTCGAGGATTAAAATTCTTAGCAGGATTTTAATTATCTCTAAATAAATCGCGAGAAACAGTTCAGTGAGTTCACACTGACCCTAAGAGCCCTAAAAATACTGTTTTACGTTGACGTATGACATTTCTCTTGAGAGAAATGAATTCTCTCGAGTTTGAAAATAGCCCACCTGGTATCATTATCATTGTCTCTTTTGAGGTTTATTATTATAGGTTCTGTTAAATTTTCCATTGCTATATCCACTTTCCAAAATGAATTTTCCACTTTTTTAACATGATCAATGCATTTTCTCCAATGTTCTCGATTTACATCTGAAAATGCATTCAAAAACAAATTTCGCCACATCAGGTAATATAAATGTATTGTTTTGAGAAACCTAACCTTTTAATAATTGTGACCAGCTCAGTTCAATGGGATTTAAATATTCGTGGTAAGGAGACAATCTGAGAATTTCAATTCCTTTTTCTTGGGCCATCTCGTCTATAATATATTTTTTGAATTTGTATTTATGTTGCCTTGCTATTACGAGTAATTCTTCCTTCAAGGATTTAGGAGGACTGATATTTTTAGAATGAGACCATTTTGAAATATCTTCTTTTTCCATCTTGTTGTAGGTAGTGACTCCTTTAATTGACTGTGGCTGGAATTTTTTTTATAATGTTCTGAAACCAATTTTCAAACATAGGACCCATCCATTTCTTTAATTATAATATATACTAATACTGAATCAATTAAAATACATACGATCCGGCATAAATAAATAAAGTCTTACTTATCTGTCAAAAGAGATGGTTTACTACACTAAACGAGAACTCTTATAAGGCCGATCAGATGTATTAAAATTTTCACTTTAACTACAAATAAGCATTGAAGGATGAGGTATAAATACAATCTTTACCTCTTGAAAATGTACTACGTTTTACAAATTAAATTACTGCTCTCCTCGTTTCTCTAGACCAGTGGTCGCCAACCTGTCGATCGCGAGCTACCGGTAGCTCGCGGAGGCAATTCTGGTAGCTCTCACAACGATTTTAATTTAAAAAATACAAACTGCCAAAATCAGAGAAGCTTCCGAAAATTCCACAAAAAAATCTAATTGTCATAATATTAAACATAAACAGCGGCAACGTTGCGGTGAGCGATCTGCCGCTAACGCCATCAAGCTAGAATCGGCTAGAACCGACCAGCCGGACCAGTGCGTTAGTGTTCGAGAATGATCAGGATTGCTTTGAACGGGATAAATACGCACGGCGCGGCGACATTGCGCTTAGCTTAGTTGTAAGAAGGTAAAGACATACCACTTTCATTCGGAATGGGAAGAACAATACTTTTTTACAAAAGTTAAAGATAAAAATGTGTGTTTGTTATGTAATACTTCGGTCTCCGGAAACATTGAGAGACATCATAAAACTGTACATTCTAATTTTGAAAAATCATTCCCACTACATTCTGCCGCCAGAAAGGAGAAACTGAAACAGTTAAAAAAGCAGTTAATTGGACAACAATCAATATTTTTAAGAACAGTCGACAAAAATAAGGCTGCAACTGAAGCATCGTACCGTGTGGCCCAGATAATTGCACAAAAAAAGAAACCTTATGAAGACGGGGAAATGATAAAACAGGCGTTTTTAGAAGCTGTAGATTCGTTATTTGCCAACTTTAGAAATAAAGACGAGATAGTTTCAGCTGTAAAATCTATGCAACTTTCTGCTAATACAGTGATGAGACGTGTAGAAGTAATGAGCAATGATATTTTTTTACAGTTAAAAACTGACTTAGATAACTGTGTTTATTTTTCCCTTCAACTGCATGAATCAACAGATGTCGTTGACACTGCCCAGATGGCCGTGTTCGTCAGGATGGTTTTTAGTGATTTTACGATTAAAGAAAATCTTTTGAAGTTTATTCCACTGAAAGGGCACACTACTGGACATTTAAAAAATATTATTTCTTCCGAGAAAATTCCAATATCGAAAATGGTAGGCTTGACAACCGATGGTGCTCCAGCTATGGTGGGTTGTGATAATGGTCTGGTGGCGTTACGTCGTAAAGATGAAACTTTTCCGCAATTTCTCTGTTACCACTGCATTATCCATCAGCAAGCATTATGTGGAAATTTCCTGAAACTAAACAACGTTATGAAACTGGTGGTAAAAATTGTGAACAAGATTAGAGCTCAAGTTTATTAAGAACAAATATCGCAATCGACTTACAGATGAACATTTGGATAATTCGAATGGCTGTTTCAAATTATACTGCAAACATTAAAAAAATTATCGATGAGTCTGAGTGTCAGCCTTCTCATTGAACGTGCTTTTTTATTTTTCAATGTTTATGTTCATGATAGTGCGTTACTTTTTTGTTGTTATTATTAACTATTTTTAAATCTTACGTGACATGCCGTTGTGGCTGGATAAAAGTTTGTGTTTATTTTTCAAACACCTTCGTTTGGTAGGTAGGAATGTAGCTATGAACAAGTACGTACTAGTAATATTAGTTATTTTGTTATTAGTTTATTATTAGTACCTATGTATTATGTATTACCAGTTAAATAGTAAAATAAATACATATAATGATAAATTAACTGTGGATTATTTCATTTACGTTGCGTTACGTGGCTTCCGTGTGGGTAGCTCGCTGTTTATTCCAAAATTAACAAAGTAGCTCAACACATTGAGAGGTTGGCGACCACTGCTCTAGACTATATCCAAATCGGATTTTTTTGCAAGGTTGTTATTTAACACTCAATGATGATGCCTAACGTGGTGCTCTAATGACATGCTAGCAAAGCAGTGTCAGACAGAACAAGCATATTAGTATTAAAAAATGAATAAGCTATGGAATAAGAAAGTATACCGGGTATCCTCGCGAAAATTTCGGATGGCTTTATTTCTGGTAAAATTGAAGTTTATTTTGTTTATTATACTAGGGCACGTGCCCAAGTGCTCTTACGGGAAAACCGCCACTGTTTAGAAAATAAAAATATGTTTAAAGAAACTGTAAGTTTTACTTTTATTAAATAAAATAGAATCGTTTTGTAACGTTTAAAAAATAATGCATTGAAACTAGTTTGTTATTTCTTTTGTAATATTTACAAAACCAGGGACAAGGACATGTACGAACTTATAAAAAGATGTTTTGTTCCATAATTTCTAATGAATGTAAAATGGTCATTTAAAAAACCGTGAGCAGTTTTTTGTTTATATGTAAGTATGGGGGTAAAGTTCATTAGTCAATGCATATTTTCTTATTAGTTAATAACATTTTATCTAAAAGTTTTACATTTTTAACTATCAGTTTTGCCTGATCAGGCGTTTATTAAAAGATCGATTTAAGACTCAATATTCGTATAAAATGTAATGTATTTTTTAGCTGCTACTAAAAGCGACAATGGTGCTGCTTAAAAATTAAGCGAAACAGCCTTAAGAAAATGGCCGAGAAGTTCTAAAGGAGTGCGTATAAAACCAATACATACTTGATATTATTTATGACAATAAAAATATGTCCATAGCTTCAATTATTTTATTTCTTATTAATATAGGTGGTGATGTCCACAGATGTCCAAAAGCAATACAAAAAGAGTCCATATATGGACCTTTCATGGCGTCCAAATGGACGTCCAGGAGTGGGACATTTATATAGTCCAATGGATGTCCAATGGATGCCCACTAGATGTCCTTCGGTAAAAGGATGGACGTCCTTTGGATAGCCGATATGTCCATCAATGGACTTCCGATGGACATCCAATGGACAGACATGTGCTGTCTAGGTAATAGATTTGGCTTATGGTCCGCGTTTAAATTTTCGAATTTGTATAATTCAGTTTACAACTAGTTCATAATGTAGATATTTTTGTATACATTTTTAGACTTATACGAGCTGAAATAGAAAAATTCCTTCACATTGGCCACGTAGTGTGGCGATTGGCATCAACTTCGCAAATGGATGCTCTAGTTTTTCGCATACTTCCACTGTTGGCGTACATAGTTCTGTTAAGACGGCAAATCAATGAATGTATTCAACTCCTTCAAGAAATACAATTTTTGATAGATCAGGATACAGATAATTCAGGTAAAAACAACCTTCTTTCGATTACAATTATCGTATATTAAGTTTCATAAGACTGGCTTTATTGCACAAGTTCAAGTTTGTAGGACGAACGCAAAGAGTTCTTCATAATACTAACTAATAGTAACTATATACGAACTTCTGAAACCCTTGTAGATATTCCAAACGAATTGCGAGTTATATATCAATTGAACAGCTCGGGCCAATAAGAGACCTAAGCCTCATTTGAAAAATTTGTAATCAAATAGGGTTTAAAGATTTGGACAAAATCCTGAAATCATATTTTAATTTTTTATAAGGTTTAACTTAATTTCTTATATTTATAATAGATTGTTAAATATCTTTCACCAAACAAAACAAAAGGAAAACAGCCTTTTCCGATAATTTTTTGATTAAAAAATAAATGTGGCTCATGACCTTCTTGATAATAACAAAACGAATATAAATTCTAAAGTCAAAAATATACAAAATATTTTTTTTATTCAAAAATATCAGGTTTGACATACCCGTCTAATATTATATTTCATCAACTAGGTCAAGTCATGTTTAATATTACTGGAAGCATTTTCAATACTACTGTGATAAAACTGTTGGTTTATTGTAAAAGTTTCTTGTACAAGTTTCTTGTACAAGTTTCTTATACAAGTTTCTTGTACAAGTTTCTTGTACAAGTTTCTTGTACAAGTTTCTTGTACAAGTTTCTTGTACAAGTTTCTTTTACAAGTTTCTTGTACAAGTTTCTTGTACAAGTTTCTTGTACAAGTTTCTTGTACAAGTTTCTTGTACAAGTTTCTTGTACAAGTTTCTTGTACAAGTTTCTTGTACAAGTTTCTTGTACAAGTTTCTTGTACAAGTTTCTTGTACAAGTTTCTTGTACAAGTTTCTTGTACAAGTTTCTTGTACAAGTTTTTTGTACAAGTTTCTTGTACAAGTTTCTTGTACAAGTTTCTTGTACAAGTTTCTTGTACAAGTTTCTTGTACAAGTTTCTTGTACAAGTTTCTTGTACAAGTTTCTTGTACAAGTTTCTTGTACAAGTTTCTTGTACAAGTTTCTTGTACAAGTTTCTTGTATGCTTATGGTTTCTATTGGTTTTGTTATTTGCGGGACTAAAATTTTTAAATCCCTTTTAGAGCAAAAGCCAATTTTTTGAATCCATGTATTAATTGACCGTGCAGAACATTTCACATCAGGCATTTCTTCCGAAAATCATTTATGTAGCGAATTAAATGTTACATGTTGCGCACCTTCGTATATCTTATATATAACTGACTTCAATTTACTTAATATTAAAGAATTAACTTTTGTTTTACTTTGGCTTACTTTTCTAGACATTAATTTCACATACTGTGTATCAGGATTTGTTGGTTTACCAAATCAATGGATAGTTTTTTGCGAAAGATTTAATGCCTCTGCAGTCATTAGATTGTACCTCTTTCCAGGGGAGAAGTTGAGCTATATGCCATTAAAGCCAAATGTATATCTTCATTTTTCGTTAACACATTTTTTGCAATTTTTACTATCGCCTCAATAGCTCCATTATACTGTGAAAATACGGACTGTTTGCAACCCTTTTAAATTTTTAATTACTAGCAAAAATTTAGAAATTTAATTGGAATAGAGAACAGCAGCCTGAAATGCAACATCTGCAAAAATATTTTTCACAGAATTTATAATTTCTTGTTCTTTTAACAGGTACTAAATTGTATATTACAGTTCTAAACCAGCTTTAAGATAACTGGATTGGAGCTCAGGGCATTGAGGGGCTGCCTGGCTATCCGAAAAGATCTTTATAGTCTTGTTTGCGGGGAAAAAATTAATCATCTCTTTCGCTCCCTATTCTATAGTAATCATTTCTGATTGAAAGATCGTGGCCAGAATGGCCAGGTTTATTGATACATCAACTCTTGGCGTCTAGCCGAAAACTCCTCATTTTATAATTATAAGCCATCTGTGCACAGCGCATAGTCCGCCTGGGAGATAGGTTCATTTCTCCTGCTCCATACGTCTCTCTCTGGAATGAGAACGTTGTATGACTTTTCCATGTGATGTCGAGGAACTAGTGAGTAGGTGGTGGTTATTAATCTCACTCACCAGTCTTGTCCCATCGTAGTTCTTCATTGCATTGACTATCCACCTTCAGGAGTCTATAGAAAACTATCCTGGCCTCTCTTTACAGCAAAATATGGAGAGGTTAGATCCAGTATGGTCTCCATGGCTCCTGTTGGTGTGGTTGACTTTGCCTCAGTGATAGCGAGGCACGCAAGCCACTGAATTCCAGCCAGCTCTGTCCTGGCCATCCCTTGAAGTCATTTGTCTCACCAGACGGTGGAGCTGTACGTAACCATGGATTTTACTACTGTTTGGTAAATCGAGTAGAATAGTTAAGGACTAATCCCCATGCTTAACAATCATCTACTCCCTCTCGCACCAACTATGTCTAGAAAAGCTCCCAGCTTAATCTCCCCGTATTTTAGGGAATGGATGATTTTGCCTACTAATTGTGCAGTGCATGATCTGTGGATTTACCTGCTTGGTATGCATACTGGGAAGAGTTTAACTAACTTGCCTGAATGCGTGCTTCTTCAATATGCCTATCTAGATTTATCTCTAGTGTTTTCAAAAGAAAGGATGTTACGCAGATTGGACGATTGCAGTTTGGTGGGGAGGTATCTACTCTACCGGCCTTGTGTATATATACACAACTTCCGCCATCACCATTGTCCACCTCCTCACAAGCAGGAGTAGCAGAGATTTCTGTCCTTTTTTGCAAAAGGGTATGAAATATGCTGTCCTCTCCAGGTAATCTAAAAGGGGAGCATTAATTTATCGCCCATTTTATGAAGCTTGGAGAGATAATTTATGCAGCGCAGTTTCAGTCCTCCGTCTTGGATCGTGTACCAGAATTCGACTGCCTGGGAAGTGTTTCTGTAAAATAATTTCTAACATTTTCTTGCCAGTATAGGTGTCATCGGAAGTTTTTGTCGAGCCGACTTCCTGTCTTGGATCTTTGGCGAGAATGTTATGAAGTATGGCGATTCGAGATAAATTTGACAGAACTTTCTAGACGATTCTCGTTTGGCCTTTATAATACCCTTGTTGTACTGCGTTAGGAACTTGTTGTATTTATTCCAGCAACCTAATTCTTTAGCTCAATTGAAGAGATGTTGAACTTATTTTCGGTTTTGGTCCATATTTCTGCTCTGGAGTTGTGTGATGAACGTAGCAACTCCTCCGAAATGACGTTGGAGGACAGGGCTAAGGTAAACTTCATCGGTTCTTCGCCGGTTTTCTGGAAGTCAAGAGAATTGTCTCCGTCGTTTTCGTTGTCATCTGAATGGTTTTTTATTCTAATCCCACGAAAAGGTAGGAAATTGGTGGTCAACTATGGCAGAGCCCCGCATTACCATAGTAAGGCTGATTACTCCGGGAGGTCGCCTGGTATTTTGGAGGCTCCGTTCGCGATGGTGTTCCCCTGCTTCTACGCATTCTACGCTTAAAATTAACAGTTTAAAGTCCCTTTTGTAAAGCGCACCGTCACTTTTTTGGAAAAAACATTAGCCGAGTATTTGGTTATTTCCTCCACCTAAAATTGTCAAATTCACGATGTTTTATTTCTGAAGTAATACGAACTAACATCAACTTTATTTCAAGATACAGACCATGAAGGTTCATAACTTGTTTATCTGTTTTTATGTAATTAAAACTACATCGAAGTTGAATTTTTATTTCCTTTTAAAAACCTTGTTGATCTTTTTGCAATTTGTAGAAAAATGTTGGTATTATGATTTGTGTATTGTGGTACACCTCGAAACAGGTCTCACAGTTGAGCCATTCTCTGCATGCACCAAGTTTTTGCAAGAGGAGGGTCTAGAAGTATCTATACGAGATCCAGATGCCAAAAGGCAATTAATAGTTTGTATTTGGTTGTGGTAAGTACTTATTATAACATATAACTTTATTATTACTGTATATTATACAGAGGCATCCAATGAAACTTTTTTTAACTTCCCACTAATCCTAAAAATGGATAGGTTATTGCAATCACCCCAAAATTAGAATTTGAGATACCATCAGAACTTCGGTTTATTATAATGGCGAGCGAAATTTTCGTAATATATTAGCTATAATATATCTTATAGTATTACTTGTAGTGAAATCAAAGCTTAAAAGGGAATAATTTATTTCTCCAGAACAAGATACCGTGTCCAATATTAAACAGGGCTTCATAGTCAAAACGTTATATCACAGATACTTTATGTCGGCAAACCGCGATCAACTTTGGGACAAGGGCGGCTCCAAGACGAATTTTCGGTGGGGGGGGGGGGTACTGCTTTTAGATATTCCCTTTTTTAGCATATTTTTTTAAGTAAAAGGCTCATAAATCCTAAAAATTTTCTTCTCGGGGGGGGGGGGACATGGCCCCCATGCCCCCCCCTCTCTGTAGCCGCGCTTGCTCTTAAAATGCTTGGAAAGAGCTCATAGATTCCTACGACATAGACATTTAATTTTGTATTTTGTCCATGCTAAGAAGATTGAAAAGTGGCAATCAATAGCTCTACAATAAAATATTAATAACAATAGTCTTGCTATAGGAGAGCATTGTCTTTCATTAGAGACCTTCTCTACACCTTTTGTTTGAAAGGTCTTCGCAATCCTTGTTCTTGCAAGCGTTTCTTAATGTAGCATGCAACTTTTACTGACTTTAATTCAGCACCCACTTTATTTAAAGACAAATTTTCGTCGAATTTTGCTATAGTCTTCGATTTTATGTCATAAAAGATAAATGCTTTTTGTAGTTTTATATTCCTATATTTAATTTTGTATTAAATAAACTGGTATAGTAATTTTATATTATTTAAATTATTTTTGTTGCACATTTAATATAGATAAAACCGTGTTAATAAAACGGCACTAATAAAAGTAAAATATTTTTGTTCTTAATATTCTCCCCTCTCTTTGTAACACCATTGGCCAAAAAATGACTTACAGGAATGAATCTCAGTAAAAATCCCATGACAACCAAAGAGCATTCACATTTGGGTCGCGCCGACTGTACGCATGTATGTAGTTAATTTGAAAATGAATGATAGCAAAATTTTATGACCCAGGAGACAAACCCCAATATAACATCATAAATCAGTGACGGAGAATTTCTAAAATAAAATGTTTAGCATTGTTTGTTCCAAAATAAAATCTTTAGCATTGTTTGTTCCAAAATAAAATCTTTTGTTTTCTTCCTAAAATTTTTAAAAATACCAATTTATTTCAATTCTTGGCTTAAATTTTCCATGACGCTCTTGCACATTTCTATTGTACTGTTCGGAGTATAGTTTCTAAGTGTTCAAATATGACTGGAGTTGGGAAAGCAACCATTTCTAGACTTTTAAAGCAATGAAAGGACGGAAGTATTACAGTAGCACTTAAAACGTCAACTGAGAGAAAACCCATTCAAACAGACGGTACTATAAAACAACTGATCCCAAGAAAAGTGCATTCGTTTCATTTACAAAAAAAAATACTTACTTTGAAAAAACTTTTAGTAGAGATTCATGGAGACGAAACTTTTCCAAACGTTTAAAGATACAAATGGTGGAAAGCTTTACATGAATTAGACTTCGTTTGGGAGAAAAATAATAGAAAATCTGCGCTCCTAGAGAAAGATGAAATTATTTGTTGCAGGAAGCAATATTTAAGAGAAATTAGAAAATTAAGAAGATAAGACAAAAATATTTTTTATTTGAATGAAAGATAAATGAAGGACATTTTGTAAAAAAAGTTTGGCAAGATAAACAGGTTACAAATGCTCGTCAAGGTTTGTCTACTGGCTTAAAATTTCCAAATGGTAAAGATCGCCGTTTAATTATCACTCATATTGGAGGAGATAAAGGATTTGTTGTTAGAGGCATGTTAGAATTTGTTTCAAATTCTACGAAAGTCTACCATGAAGAAATGACTACTGATGTTTTTGAGGAATATTTCAGTTAAATGATAGATTTATTACCAACCAATTCTGTAATAGTTGTGGACAATACCAGTTACCATTTAAGATTAAATCCGTTTGGCTAATAACCTAAGAAATAGTGGCAGAAGGGGGATTACTCAAAAAAGAGCTATTGCAGTTATATAAACAACATTCACCTAAATTTAAGAAGTATAGTGTAGATGAAATAGCAGAAGAACATGGAATTAAAAGTGTTGCGGTTACCACCTCATCACTGTGAACTTAACCCTATTGAACTAATCTGGGCTCAAATGAAGGGATATGTCGCGAGAAACAATAAAACATTTACACTTTAAGATGTTTATGTGACTCCATATCAAAAATTTCACCGGACAATTGGCAAAACGCTATGAGACATGTCATAGAAGAGGAAGAGAAATTTTGGAAACTTTGTTTGTTAATAGAGGAAACAATAGTAGAGGAGAAGTACCAAATATGGAATGCCATTTTGTTTTTGCCTTGTATTTTTTGTTTTTTTTTAAAGAAGTTTCTACTTTTATTCATAAACATACATTAGTATTTTATTTATCGGGTTTTGATAATAGAAATGAGAAAATTTTGTATACCGGCATCCTCAAAAAATAATCTTTGAAAAAGGGGAATTTTGTACCTAATGTGGAATATGTACATAATATGGAATAGGGTAAGAATAAAACAATATAGTAAATTTCAAAACATTTTTTAACTTTATTAAACATATATGAATTCCTTAAAGAAACGAAGTTTAATTTAGTTTAGACCTATAAAAAATAAAATAAAGGTGATGTATTTTTTAATGAAATGCATATTGGCAAAACAAACTAATGTTCTTTACAAAATTCACAAATGAAAATATCAGTTTCACATCCCGAACAATCGATATGGAACCACTCTTTGCAGACAACGCATTCTATCTACTTCTCCCCTTTTCTATCATCCAAAAACTTTCCATTGTAATAGAAACAAGTAGCGTCATCTTCCTGTGGTTTTTCTGCTCCAATGTCCTCCATGTCATCCTCCTCAGAAGAATTATCTTTGAAACTTGCGGACTCTGATACTGAAGAAGAATCTTGAATAATCGCCTTCTTCTTTGAAGCACTGGTTTTGCGCAAATGGATGTTACTACAGGATGGTCGATTTAGGTCAACTGATAATTCCGCTAACACTTTACGCTTTACTGTTTTAGCTTCTTTTGAAGAGACTGCATTTATTGAAGTTTCTAACTCATCTTTATATGGAGATAAGGTTATAATTGCTGCCTTTCCAGGTGCCCTTCCTCTTCGAGGCCCTTTCTTTTCTTTAAAAGTTGGCACCGGTGAAATATTTTCGGGTCCAATAAATTCCCTTGCTGCTACAGTATTTTCAGCAATATTTTTGTCTGCTGTGGCTTCCCCTTCCTCAATATTTTCTTGTGCTGCAGCAAGGAAATCGCTGTCTGTGAAGACATGACGATTTGGGGGAAATATTCCTGTTTTTTTAAAACCGTTAACGGCAATTGCCCCAGTTTGCACTTTTAGATACGCCTTTCCAAATAGTTCAGCTATGTCAAAATGTGTGACTGCCCTTTGATTCGATCTCAAAAATAATCTCAACTCCTCACTATAATGGGCTTTCAAAGGTCCCATTACCGTTTTATCTAAAGGTTGCATGTGGTGTGTAGAATGAGGGGGCAAGCACACAATTTCAACAAAATTATGCCTTGCCAACTTTATCATTTCCAAATTGCGGCAATGCGTATGGTGTCCGTCCAAAACTAGCAACACAGGATCGTTCTGTGATGGTTTCACCTTTTCAATAAAATGTAGAAACCACTGAGTAAAAATGTTGGTTTGAATCCACCCGCTTGGATGACAAACAATTTTTGTCCCAGGAGGAGCACCCTTTCCCAGTAGAACATTGGTATTTTTCTGGGGAAGATTAGAAAAGGTGGAACAAAACTTCCTCCAGCACTCATACACAAAACTGCCGTAACTAAGGAACCTCTTTCCGCAGATGTTAAAGCTCCTACCTGCTTCGTGCCCCTAAGCGCCAGAACATATTGGCTTTCTACTGAACAATAGATAAGCCAGTCTCGTCCACGTTAAATACTCTGTCAGCTGGATATTTGTGATTTTCAAATGCTGTCTCCAAAATATCAAAAAAGAGGGTCACTTTCTTTATTAAAGCTTTGGCTCTATGGATGGACGTCCCAGTTGGCTTCCTGACAGAAATTCTGTCGTTGTGTCGCTTTAGGAATAAATTCAACCATTTTCTTCCAGCGCTTTCATTATTTTTCGAAAATGGGTTTGGTAATCTATTTAAGGTAGCCAGCTGATATGCCATCCTTTAAACATCACTTCGTGTTAATCCATAAAACTTTTTTTCCATCAAAAGCAGATACTCTACCAACTGATCTTTTGTGGTAAGACCGCAGATCTTTCTAATTTTGTTTCAACAGCCTGGGCTGGTGTTGCATTTGACTTAGTTGAAAGACGGAACATTAAATATATCTGCGGCTTTTTTGTACCCCATCTCGCGACTCCGCACAGCTTCGATTGCACAAACCATCTCTTGTTTCCTCCATTCTTTACGACCCATGATATTTTTCTGTAAAGAAGGTTAGGAATTAATATTTGGATTATTTTAACAGAAAGCTTTTGCAGTTTTCTCATAAAATTCTATAAAAAAAAGCGAAGTGTTCCTAATATGGAATATTCTAACATAGGAACAGCATGCTATTCCATATAAGGTACACCCGGCCATTTTTCTTTTCGTTTACACGCTAATCTTAGATTTCAATATAAGAAACCTAAGCTAAAGTTATATAAACATACAAGACAGAATAGGATATTACTGTGTCTATTCTAACTGGGTATATCAAAATTTCGAATACATACCTTAAATAATTTACGATGCCGCGTAAAAACCGATCGAACTGTAAATAACAACAGTTACGTTAAACGGTTCATAAACGACTGCCAGCCAGTGTTGCCAGAATATATTTTTGTAATGTACCAGATTTATCTAAAAAATGTACCAGATTTCATAAAAATGTACTAGATTTTATAAAATTACCAGATTTGTCTAATTATGAAGTATGGTCATTAAAGAGCAAAAAAAGGTTTATAGAGAACAAGAACACAACAATTTTAAACAATATTTTATCTCTCGACAAATTTCTGACACTATTTTATCTCTCGAGCAGTTTTTGAATAAGATTTTAATACCTTTTGATACTCTTTTATCTCTCGAACAATTTTTAAATCTTTTTTATCTCTTGAGCTATTTTGAAACAATATTTTATTCCTCGATAAATTTCTAACAGTATTCTATCTCTCGAGTAATTTTTAACAACTTTTTTTATCCCTCGAGCAATGTTTGTACAATATTTTTGTACAATTTTGAACACTGTTTAATCACTCGAGCAATTTTTGACAGCCCTTTTTTACCTTTCAAGCTATTTTTGAACAATATTTGATCTCTCCTGCAATTTTTGAGCAAAATTTTAACAATTTCTAACACTATTTCATCTCTCGAGCAATTTTTAAAAAAAGATTTTAATACCTTTTGATAATATTTTATCTCTCGAACAGTTTAAAAAAACCTTTTTTATCTCTTGAGCTATTTTTAAAAAATATTTTATGTCTCAATAAATTTCCATCAGTATTCTATCTCTCGAGCAATTTTTAACAACTTTTTTTATCCCTCGAGCAATGTTTTTACAATTTTTAACACTATTTAATTACTTGAGCAATTTTTGAAAAAGATTTAACATCTTTTGATATTTTATCTCTCGAACAGTTTTTAAACAATTTTAAACAAATCTCTAACAGTATTCTATCTCTCGAGCAATTTTTAACAATTTTTTTTATCCCTCGAGCAATGTTTGTACAATATTTTTTGTACAATTTTTAACACTATTTAATCATTCGAGCAATTTTTAACAGCTTTTTTTTTACCTTTCAAGCTATTTTTAACAATATTTGATCTCTCTTGCAATTTTTGAGCAAAATTTTAATAATTTCTAACACTATTTTATCTCTCGAGCATTAACATTTTTTATCTTTTTAACAATTTTTAAACAATGTTTTATCTCTCGAAAAATGTTTAACAGTATTTTTTAATTCTCGAGTAATTTTTGAATAAGATTTTAATAACTTATGATACTATTTTATCTTTCGATAAATTTATAACATTATTTTCTCTCGAGCAATTTTTAACGACTTTTTTATCTCTTTAGCGAACTGTACAATATTTCAACTCTCGACAAATTTATAAAAATATTTTCTCTCGATAAATTTTTAACAATGTTTTATATTTCGAGCAATGTTTGTACAATATTTTATCTCTCGAGCATTTTCTAATAGTATTTTAGCGTTCGAGGAATTTTTAAACAATGTTTTATCTCTCGAGAAATTTCTAATAGTAGGTATCTCTTGAGTTAATTTTGAACAATATTTTATTTCTTAACAAATTTTTCAATAGTATTTTATCCCTCGAGCAATTTTTGAACAAGGGTTTAACATTTTGTAATACTATTTTACCTCGAGCAAGTTTTGAACACGATTTTAACGATTTATAATACTATTTAATCTCTCAAAAAATTATTAAATATTTTTATCTCTCATTAAACTTCTGACAGTATTTTTATCCCTAGAGCAATTTTTGAACAATATTTTAGTCCTCAAGCCATTTCTTATACTATTTTATACTTCAGCCAATTTTTAACAGCCTTTTTTACCTCTTAAGCCATTTTTGAACAATATTTGATCTCTCGTGCAATTTTTAAACAATGTTTTATCTCTCGAGAAATGTCTACTATTTTATCTCTGAAGTAATTTTTAACAACTATTTTGATTTCTCTTGCAATTTTTGACCATTATATTTTACACTTCAAAAGGAAACATACCTACGCTGAAAAAAGTACTAGATTCTGTTTCGAGTGTACTAGAGTACCAGATTCTCAGATAATGTACTAGATCTAGTACAATTGTACTAGACTGGCTACACTGCTGCCAGCACTCTCGTCTTGGCGTAACATGGTATTGGTGATGTTGTGGCGGTGTTGCCGCTCTTGGTTTATTAAATTTTAGGGTATTCCATATAAGGAACATATTCCATATATGGCACATGTCCTCTACCAATTATTATTTCTGCGGGAAGTGAGGAAATTGATGATGATGATGATGATGACTCCTTATCGGGAGAAAACGACTTATTTATTTAGGCATTTAACTCTATATTTATATTAAATATAATGTTTATATTACGCTAGTACCCGAAATACAAACAAACAAATTTATATGGAATCACCCCGTATTTCTAAAAACGAAATATGAATGATTTATAAGAAAATATTTTTTGCATAGATTTTTTTTAATATATCATATAAATTTGGTTCTGTGTATATTTATTATTAAATTTTAAGGAAATGTCCTAACTTAATATCTAGTATACAATTTTTATAAAAATAAATGTGGGTACTTAATATTGACATTTTGCTATTTTTTAAAATAAAGTAATTTCGTGTTATTCGTCACTGAGGTATAGAATTATTGGTTAATCCTTTAGGGTTTGCTCATTTACATTTTATGATATATTTTATTCGAGATTTTTGGGATGGTCATACTAAAATCTAGTGAAAATTTAGTTAAGAAGGTATCATTGTTTAGTTATTTTCTGCTTTGAACAATTCCGTACCTACATAGACCTTTGCCATAAAAACTGGCTATCATGCATTTTCAAATAAACTATAGCACGATACAGCCCAAATTATCTGGCCGATTTTAATGGGTACTAGTACATAGGGTTTCCAGGGGCCCCTGATGAGTTGAACAGATTTTGAGCATAAACGGAGCAACTGGGGGAGTACTTTATAGGTATACTCGTATTACTTTTTGGCATATTTCTGAGATGTTATTTATGATTAGAGAAGAACATTCTTTGGATAAAAAATTTTTACGATGTCATGATGTCCCTTAAATGGACCGTATTGGACATATTGGATAAATAGTACAAATTTAATTTTTTGTTTTGACTTTTAACAGAATAAAATTTTAGGTGGAGAGATTACTGCCGCTTTGAGATGCTGCGTTTTTTCTTTTTATGGATTTTGCTATTCATAGGTTCAGATTTCGTTTAAAGTTCTTTTTAGCTTGTATTCAACTGCCAATTGGAACATAGTGTAATTAAAAAATTATATGTATATATATTTTTTAGGGAAGTTAGAAATGAAAATTGGGAGGCAGCTGTTGTTTGGCAGAAAATTGCGTGGGATTTTGAGTTAAAGAAGGTCGGTGAAAATGTTGCAAACTTAATAACAGGGTTATATTTGCTAGAAGGTCTGATTATTTATCTGAGCCACAAAATGGACAAAAAAAACTTGAAATCAGTAAACCGAGCCAATAAAAGAATAACAAACTTATTCGATACTTTAAACAGGGCGGAAAAAACTTGTAACCTAATCAAACCTCGGTAAGTTTATTCAAAATAATTATTAATCACAGAATAGGGATATTACCAGAGATAACAGAGATATAACTATTCATTCAAAAAATAGAATATCTGTGATGCCAACAATAAAATCAGTCCACTTGTAGGCCAGGAGTGGAAAAACGTGTGGTGTCAGATAAGGGAGGGAATATACTGGAGGACTGGAAAATCTGAGGGACCTACACATTTGTTTTGTCGCAGCGGAGTGTTAAATAAATTGCATTGGCGTACCACTAGAACGGGATGAGTTAGATTATCTAAATAATATAATGTGTTATTAAATCCCGTGAAAGATTTTGTATTTTATTATAGATATATTGAACAGTAGTACAAATATGTTTCCTGCAAAATTCGTTAAGTGAGCTTTTAATGCTTCAACAACATATAAATTTAGATTTAAAAGCATCTGTTTGCATATAATACGAATTTGTATGTTTCTAATATGTACCAGTGTTTAATCGGTCCGTACAAAAGTTATGTAAATAAAAAAATTGAAGCTAATTAAAAAAATGGTCGAAAATAAATAAAATAATACCATTTCTATAAAATTTGCCGTCGTTAATTTGGAAAAAAGTAACTTGTTTTAAATATCCAGGGTTTATTCTTGGATCAAGCATTAATTTTTTTCTACACCCACTTGGATATAACTTATCTACGTACAGACTACAAAACAAAAACGTATGCTATTGGGTTCAACTGAACGAATATATTTCATATTCATTCTAGGTAGGGAGAATATTGCAAAATAGCAGTTTGTGCAACAAGAGTGACAATCCACTCGAGTTGTACAGTATATTTTTTCTACCGCCCACTTACGAAAATCTACAAATTTATAAATTATTTAAGGTTATTAAGAGAAAATAACTAATTTTAGTTGTTTTATTAATTTTCACATAAAACTAAAATGCGTCACGTTATAAAACTCACAAAAAATATTAATGTAAATATTTTTTCAAATTACACGTTCAAAACTTCAGAAAAACATCTGCGTAATTATGTAAACCGTTGGTATTTCCAATGAATCAATCCCTTATTCATAAATTAACAATCTTTCCTGTACTCTTTTAAATCCTATTTTCTATATTAAAATAAAAATAGAATTCAAAACAGGTGGGTAATCAAAATGTATTTATGGACCTCTGTTAATAATCTTTATAAGTAGATTATAGTTTAAAGAGAGTATTTTTTTAAATAGGGTTTTAGGTGTTGTTTTAGCAAAGTAGTTGATGGAAATTCTACCTAAATGCTAAAAAGTTAAAAATTACAAGTAAAAAATTTGTTCCTAAATGTTTTTATTTATTAAATTGATAGTAATGTTCTAAATTATTAGTAAAAAAATGTTCCTATTTGTAATCACTTTTTTTGCTGTTTTGATAGAATGTTTATCCGCTAAAACTAGTAAATTAAAGATTTAAAAAATATATTTAGAAGTTTTGCTTCTTATTGTGATTTATTTAATTGATCCTAATGTACTGAATTATTCGTATGTACGAGAAATTTTATTTTAAATTTTGTGATACCTATTGTATGGTTTGTGCTGTTTTGATAAAAAAATTATCCGTGGAAACGTGAACCTTTAATCAAAGTCAAAAAAACTATATTTAGAATCGTAGTTTTCTCAAGATTTTTTGTATAGTGAAATAATAACTTTTTGACCTACCAAAGTACTAAAATCAAAAGTTTTGCCGAATAACATTACCGAAACTTTAAGGCAACGCTCAATTAAACTGAATCATTTTAAAAACTTAAAAGGTTTTAATAAAAAAATGCAGATTTTTTGGACAAATTCTTTTTTTACATAAGATTTTTAGAAATATTTCCCGGAACAATTTTAATATTTCGCATCTTCTAATTTGTTAAGGCTGATATGAATAACCATGGTTAATTCAAAACAGTAATTATTTAAAAATAATAAGATATTTTTCGTAATTGGTACGTCTATGATAAGTAAATTCGCTAAATTCTAACGACTAAACAACTTGATGAAATTATGAATGAATATTTTGTAAGCTGTTGTGTAAGCTCATAATAAACAACGTAATATGCTCCGCCTACAAAATGCTAGCTGTTGCCACATTTCGTAAAAAATATTTGATATCCAATTTAACATAACAAGTTTTGAAATTTATTGAAAATTATTACATCTAATTTAATGAAATTATATACAATTTAGTTAAAATTGATATAACAAATGTTTTAAAAATTTTTGGTTGAGTTGTAAGAAACTAGGTTGAATTATTTTAGCTTTTTTAAGATAAATAATTTTCAAACAAAACAAAAATAATAAAATGGGCATGACAACAGCGTATATTATACCCACCTGTGTCCCTTAGAATATGTCTTATTCAGGACCGCACGATATTTATTTGTAGTTACATCTCCTCTTGTTATCTCTGGATATTACCTATTCTGTAATAGGATCATGAAAGAATTAGGTACCATCTTCTAGTCTACGAAACATAATTTTATTTGTTTACAGTTTGTACCATATGAAGGGTTACTACCGAATTGTCAAAAACAATGATTACAAAGGAGCTTTAAAACTACTGAAAAAGGGAAAACAGTTTTCAGAAAAATATATGAATGAAATTGAACTACATTTTATAAAACATAGCGAATCGGTAAGTTAAACAAATGTTAAGTGGGGAAGGATAAAAAAATTATTCTAGATTTTCAGTTAAGTAGATAGGCTATGTTTGGTTTAGCCCACAGTTCCAAAAGTCGCCGCTAGATAGCGCCCATGTCAGGTTTGCGACTCTGCTGTCAGTGGTTTGCGACTCGGCTAAGTAAACTAGTCTCCGCTAGATGGCGTCACCTGTCAGTGGTGCGCCTCGGCTATTATTGGTCGGATTTAAACGAGGAAAACAACATTATGCAGAGAACGCGGTATAGATTAAAGTTAAAGAGAAAAATCCTGCGCAGTGGCAACGCCAAAAGGACCTAAGCGCATGGGCGTCGTTACACAATTCTATAGGGACGGGCAAAATTTTGCAAAAAAATATAGTATGTCTATTTGTTGGAAAACAAAGAAAATGAAAAATAAAGTAGTAATACAAAATAACAAAATTCTCTCTAATAAAGAAAATAACCCAACAAAAAAGACAGAAACTAAAATAAAAAAAAAACAAGAAACTTAAAACTCATATTTTTAAAAACAAACAAAAGGTGTGATATATAAGAAAAATAGGAACAAGAAGATACAGCCATACATAATAATAAAAAAATCAAATATTTATAGAAACAAAAAAACATAAGAACCTCACTCAAACAGGTCGACAAAGCCAAACAAAAACTAAACGCAGAATTTAAATTTCTTCTTTCCCTACCAAAAACATGGATAATAGAAGTTTTTGTTTTCTATACACTCATCGTGCATGACCCAGTCGCCTATTCTCATTCATTGGAGACCGCAGCCACGTTTATATCATTAACGGAGAGCTCATTGTGTGTAGGAAGCTCTTTCGTAGTCAGTTGGCTATCCACGTTTGGTATTCAGCTTCAAAATTGTCGATTTCAAACTTGTCCACTATTTTCATTTTGTGATCGGTAATAAAAAAAAGTATTATTTCTTATGTTTTTGAGATGTAACAGGCTTAAAGAACCTACCTAACAAAATATCAGTAATGCATGTCTTAACACGTTGTTGATTAATTCGTAAAAGCCAGGGAGGGGCAAATGCCCTTGCCCCCCCAAACGACGACCATGTCTAGGCGTATATCTCGGCTATTATTCGTCTGATTTAAACGAGAAAAACGGTATTATGTGGAAGAACATGGTATTATATTAGCGTTGAATAGAAAAATCATGCACAATGTCAAAAGTCAAAAGGGCCTAAGCCTGTATCTCGGCTACTAGAAGGTTTATAGCTTAGTGATATTTTTAGGCTTGGTTAAAAAAGTTGTCTGGAGAGGAAATGGATTTTTGGAAAGAACATGCAGATGAAGATAATTTAGTAAGCGTAGCAGATGCAGATTATTTAGATAAATTTTCTCAGTTTACGCTACCTATTCCAATATACGTATAAAAGCTAATTATACATTTTACATTTATGTTTTAAATAAACTGTAGATATTATTAATATTACTTGTTATTTCTTAATACGCACGCCAATTAATTGGGGGGATATTTTCTGACACCACATGATATTAGAGATGTCTCAATAGTATCGAGCTGGCCATTAATTTGGCTTTTAATCAGAGGCCAGTAAAATGGGTCGAATGTAAGACTAGATTTTTTCTGTTGGTATCTTTTATTACTAGGTCCATGAACTTGGCACCACAACATTGCAAAATTTGTGCAAAAATTTATGAGAGGATTATCCATCGTTTGCCCATTATTGCCCATGAATTAACTTATTTTGCCCATCCTCTGTTTTCAAAATAAATTGTTTGTTCACGTTTGCCAATCAATTATTTTTTTGGAACAATAAAAAATAATTAAAATAATAAAGAAAAAACAAAATAAATATTTACAAAAATGAAATATGATAAGTGCATTAGCTAAACATTCGTTTGCCCATGTTTGCCTATTTTTTAGTTTTTCCAATTTGCATGCCTTTATTCGAAAAAAAATTTAAATTAAAATGTATCGGATTACAATTTAACAGGGCCGTCACCTCTACAATGGAAAAATGGTACAAAAATGTGTAGGAGGATTGCCCATGGTTTGACCACGTTTGCCCATCAATTGGTTTTTTTGAAACAAAAAAATATTTAAAATAAAAAAAATTAAATATGATAACTGCATTTGATAATAAAGATGCTGTTTTTGTTTTTAAGATCATCGTTAACATTCGTTTTATTATGAGTGTTTTGTTTTCATAGAGCATTTGTATTGGATACCTAAAAATATAAGTTGCTACATTTTTACTTTCGACTCGTAGAGAGAGCTAAAATATTGCACCAAAACTAAACAATTTAATTCCAGATGCACGTTTCTCAGTCCACGTCAGCATCATCAAGAGACAGCGAGACAGCTATGATAAATCAGACAAATTACTTTAGCCATAAAAAAGAAAGTGAAAACAAAGTTCACATTAAAATGACCATTTTATTGAATGATACAACACTGCGTTCGTCAATGAAATAAACAATAGTAATTAAAATTGTAGACGAAGAAGAGATGGAAGGACTTAGAATAAATCGTCGTCTGCCGAAGCCGATGGCGCGTTTAGACAAACAACAACAAATTCCTCTCGTCTTGCGTGCAGCAATCCCACAAGAACCGCAACGGAAGCGGTACGTTTGACAGATTTCGGCCTCATTAACATTCAAATAAGGTCCCACCTACCAACATGGGAATAAGACTGTCACACCACATATTATCTTTCGGTAAATGAATGTGCAGAGGCGTAGATACAGAAGTTGTTTACAATTACATATTTTACGAATGTCTGTATTGATAGATATTTTAACACCACCAAATCCTCAGCAATTTTGGCCATATGTACCTAAAATCTATTAGCAGTACAAATTAATAATGCACTAATAGATAATGCAATAGCAGGGCTGGTATATCTAAGGGGGTCGCGACATAGACCCAGTAAATGGATGAGGGGGTGACTGAGGCTAGGGGGGAAATAGTAGTCAGCTTAAGTTGGCAACACTTTTCTGATGTTCGTTTAAACGAGCATCGTGCATAATAATGTCTAATATGGTACAAGTGGAATGAACCACTGTTTTCCTCGTAGTCGTAGTCCAATGGTGGTCCAATGTCGAATTAAAACTAAAAGCATTTTGTACTTTTTTATATACCAAATTATGCAATTTGTTTCCACTTTATTTTAATGTTACATGAATAGATACATGCGTTTGTGCTGTGGTAAATAAGTGTTCATGTGAAAATTATATCTTAAACTACATTGTGACTGCACTCATCTCGAAACTGAATGCTGTAAATCCAGGATTTAAATCTTTCATAGTGTTGCTTGGGATAAATTCTAAAAAAGGTGTTGGACAAAACGTTTACAACCTAAAATTGCATGAAAAACACGATAGAAGAAGGAATTTTACCTTTATGACATTCTCTTTCAACATTTTTTTAAGTGACTTTGTGGTTTGGTGAATGGACTTACTACAGTCAAAAGATTCAAAGTAAAAAAAGTGACCAAGTTCTAATAAGAATACATAAGTTGAATATGAAAATGTAATTACTTGATTTAAATGTGATTTAATTAAGAGTTACATAGATGTTTCATATAAACAAAGTGCTGTAAAATGTTAATAAATGCAAAACCATTATTAAAGAGAAATTAGTTATCATCAATAAGATATTTTGTAGTAGCTGGTCTCTATAAATAATAAACTTGAAAAACTGAATTAGTAGTCACTTTTACACTAGAAGTAAAAACAAAAAAAAAATGTGTGGTTGAGACTAATTTGTGTATTTAATAAAACCATATTTAACATAAAAGCAGGTGTTATTTGAAATGTTTTATTTTAGTTTAATAATCTTTATAAATTGTGGGTACATTTGATCCGAATCTTGCAAATACTATAAAATGCATATGCTTCTATATGGTTAGTATTGGAGTAGAAGCACAAAAGTTTTGAATAAAAATATATTCTTTAAATAATACAATATTCACTAGATATGCTAATTTTGGTAATTTTCTATTCAAAACCATAGATACGTTTATAATTCTGGAGATACCGGAATATTTTGCTTGATTACTAAACTTTGGATGTTTTGTGTTGTAGTCTGCTGTTAACACTATTGTCCTGAAATATTAAAAAAGCTAGACAAAGGTTTGTCCAACTCTTTTGTCAGCTTTGTTAATCTATGCTACTGTTATTCTGCATACAGACATTTTTTACTGGAGATTTTCTCTAAGAACTGTATTCAGTTTCAAATTTCGGCCAGTTTTAGGAAAGTACCTCTGTTGTAAAGGTATTTCAAAGCCATCCTTTGTGAGATGTAGACAACAAATACATGCTAAAATATATAGAAAACAAATCGCAAGATATTACACAAAATTATTTAAATTAACTAAAAACATACAAATGAAGTGAATAATACCTACCAACAATTTAAAAAGACCTAAAATAAATAGACTTAAGGGACTGGAGCTCTAAAAAAGGGAGCAATAATTTGTTATGCATCCTCATCTATAAGAAAATTGTCTTCATCTCTTCAATTACCTTTTAAAATAAACAAAACCAAAACAGCACAAAATTGAAAGTGATCTACTTTTCCCGACGTATTCTATGTACATCTGAGATTAATAATTTATTAAATTGAAATATTTTATCCTAAAAAATATGGGCATTTTATAATGGAAATGTCATTTAAAAAATTACATAGATTTTTTTCTTATATTGGTAAACCTGGCGACTACAAGTTGCCACGTTGCCAGATCAATGGCGACTACTATGTGACTACTATTTCGAAAAAAATGGCGTCCAAAATGGACTCCTATGTCGCGACCCCCTTAGATATACCAGCCCTGATGCAATAGATATTATGCAGACAGTTGCAGATCATTTTTCAAATAACTTCATGTTACCATGGGGAATTAATACAACTGAAACTACTGATCAATCAATTTCTGCAAATTTGCATATTTTATCTATAAATCATGTATCCGAAAAGGAAGTGTTAGATGCCTTGAAAATACCCTTTCTTGTTTTTTATAGATTGTACGCACATTATTTCAACCCCATTGTGTACCATTTTTAATTTATTATTGGATAAACTGAGCTGTGGAAATTATCTCGCGTTGCACCAGTCTATAAAAAGAGGTACCAAAGATGATCTTGACAGCTATAAACACGTTATCATACCTTTTATGCAAAGTATTTGAATTTATTATACATACGTACTTATCTAGACATCTTTCAGGGTTCATTATCAGAATGGCTTTATTAAAATTAGGTCAACTATGTCGAATTTTGTGTGCAGCACACAATTTAGTAGAAGTCCGGTTGGTATCATCTATACCGATCTTTCTAAGACATTCGACACAAATATTAAAGTATAAGTGACTATCTGATTTTCTTCTTTTACTTAAACAATAGACGTCATTACGTGCAACATCGAGAGGTTGTGTCAAATTATTTTAAACAAATTTTAGGTGTACCGCAAGGTTCGGTTTTTGGGCTTCTGCTTTCGAAATATAGTTGATTATACAGTTTTACAAAAGTGTTTAGTTAAATTATCACTATGATGCACTGAAAGTTATTTACATTTAGTCATGATAAATGTTATGACATTATGACATATACCTACGAGGAAAAAAAATCACATTTTACTTTCGATTATCAGATTAAGGTAATGGTACTTAGCTAATTAGGTCAGAATTTATATTTTGGCATCAGGCTGGCTGCAAACATCTCTCTATGATAATAAGTAAATGTTTTTTATTCTCAATTTTTGACGGGTTACTACTTGAATCCGATTCATGCAGGTACCCATTGACGAAGCTGAAATAGATTCTGAAGGTACGATAATTGTTACATATTATACGGTGGTTCACACTATAGCTACAATTTTATAAGATAGAAGTAAAATTATTAGTTTACTCTACATTGTTTTATTTATAATCACACTTGAATATTATATTTTGTCTTTGCTTTGTAAAAATTACGTAAATATTACGTAAATATTACGTAAATATTACGTAAATATAACGTAAATATTACGTAAATATTACGTAAATATTACGTAAATATTACGTAAATATTACGTAAATATTACGTAAATATTACGTAAATATTACGTAAATATTACGTAAATATTACGTAAATATTACGTAAATATTACGTAAATATTACGTAAATATTACGTAAATATTACGTAAATATTACGTAAATATTACGTAAATATTACATAAATATTACGTAAATATAACGTAAATATAACGTAAATATAACGTAAATATTACGTAAATATTACGTTAATATTATGTAAATATTACGTAAATATTACGTAAATATTACGTAAATATTACGTAAATATTACGTAAATATTACGTAAATATTACGTAAATATTACGTAAATATTACGTAAATATTACGTAAATATTACGTAAATATTACGTAAATATAACGTAAATATTACGTAAATATTACGTAA